TGGGTGAACCTGGAGCTGCCCTTCCTGGGCTCAAGTCTGGCGTTTTCCATACCTGTAACAAAGCTAAGCCTTAGGTTTTGAAGAAAATGAGGGTGTCCACCCAAAGCTCTTAACATCCGAAACAGAGACTGCTCCCTAGGAAAACAACTCATCCAAACTGCAAAAAACCTCAGACTGAGGGAAACCTGTGTTTGTTTTCATAAGTTTGAAAGTCTTTTTTTTTTTTCTAAAAGCAAAACAAGCAGCAACAAAACACCCCCTCTCCTTAGTTTATCTTCCATTCGTGTTGCAGAACTGGCTGAGGAAATGAAGTTTAGAAAGAGCCACTTCTGTTTCTTCGCCTCTAAACTCAGGCTACAGCCTTGAATTTAGCAAATCTAGGGGATGCAAAAATCTCTTGTCCACCATCCTTCCATACCCCCTGCGTCTCCCATTCACACAAATCCTTGGGTAATTAGAAAGATAAAAATGTAATTAGCTCATTGTTTATCTCCTCCTGGGGGGTGAGGAACTGCAAATTGGGTGCTGCAAATTCTGAACCCTGGGGGAGTAGAATTTGTTCTGTGTGTGTCTGTGTGTGTGTCTGTGTGTGTGTGTGTGTGTGTGAGTGTGCGGGTGTTGGTGTGTGTGTGTGCGTGTGTGAGAGAGAGAGAGAGAGAGAGAGAGAGAGAGAGAGAGAGAGAATCTGGATACAAAAAACAAAAACATGCACAGAACCCAAAGCAGCAAGCCCTACAGCAGCCCTGGCCCAGTTCCTTGGGAATGGGTTCATTGCTGTGGGATGAGGCTCAGGAATAGCAGATACTCTTGTCCAGTGGCCCTTATCACAGAAGAGGGTACCCCAAGGCCACTTCTGAAGAGGATACTTTAGCTTATCTTAAAGTGTTGAGTGTCTTGGCTTTCTGAGGCAGGGTCTTAATCTCTTGGTGTGCAGCCCAGGCTGGTCTTGAACACAAATTCCTCCTGTTTCAGCCTCCTCAGCTCTGGGATTACAGGCTTGCACTGCCAAGTGCCTCTTGTTTAGTGCCTCATTTGGCTGCCACAGAGTGAGGATTGGGGTAGACGTGAGGGACGTTTGAACGGCTCCTATTCATTCTGGGGAGGAAGGTAGGTCCAAAGTGATTGCCCTCGTCTGGCATGGGTCCCAGCCTGTAAGGTAAATGGTAGCCCTGGGCACCCCTGTCCTCAGGGCTGGTATGTGCAGTCTTTTGACACGGCTCTCTGGGGGTTGAGCATTTCCCTAGACTTCTTCTATCCCCATTGAGCCTCCCCACCCCACCCCCTGCAGACCACAGTTTCCTTCCTAACTCCTGCCTGCCAGGAGAGCTTGTGGCCAGCTTTGCTTGTATTCCTTCCATTCCCCATGGCCACTGATTGATTGCCCTTTTCTGAGGTTATTGGTGGGCATAAAGTGCAAACCTGTGGGAAACAGCTTTGTGTAAAGTGGCTGAAGTTTGGGGGCAAGAAAAGAGGACCAGAAGGGAGTGGCACTGTTTCTGAGGGTCCCCCAAACCAGTCCCTCCAAATCTGTCAGGGCAAAGGGCACACCCACCCTAACCCATTTCTGGATGCTTTTGTGTGAATCCATGTGTTTGGTTCATCCTTGCCTGGTGCTTAGGTAGAGCACTTCTTTGCTAAATAAAGACCCTCTCTCTCTCTCTCTCTCTCTCTCTCTCTCTCTCTCTCTCTCGCTCTCTGTGTGTGTGTGTGTGTGTGTGTGTGTGTTGTCTGGTAGGAGTGTGGCTGTGGCTGGTTTCCTCTGAAGTGATTTTGACTTTTGTGAGAGGCATCAATGTCTCTCCAGAATGTCAGACTGCCATTATGAGGGTGTCCCATGTGATGCACAACCCCCTTACACACACTTTGCCCTGAAGGGCTGTCCCGCTGCTAGCTGAGAGTTAAGTTGTGTGTGAATAAGTGAAGATTAAGACACATAACCTTAGACTGGTAGCCCTGGAACAAGACCTGGGACTTTGAGATGATAGTAAGTTACCTACAGGTGCCTACTCTCTGGTCCTCATCCACCCTGTTATCTTAAAACTGAAACCTCAAAATTTCAACACAGCATTACATCTTAGTATACAGTTTTAGGAATACTGGGGCATTCGTTGTTATTAAAGAAGAGCCTGATCATGAGAAATGAGCCGAAGACTTTGATTTCCTCTCTCTCAAACAGGCTGCTTGCACTACCTTGGCTTCTGTGACAGGAAAGGGAATTGTGCCGTCCATCCCAGGAGACCGACTTCTAGATCTTGGACATACATTAGACTAGCTTAGGAAATTGTCGTTCTCCTTCCCTGCCGGGTTTCACTGAGTTGTGTGAACGAGCCCATTGCGTTCAGTTGTGTTGTTTAGGTATGTTGTGTATTAGGTCAGCCAGGCTGTGTAGTCACAGGCTGGAGAGGCCAGGGAGCCCCCACTTCTCCCAGAGGCTCCTTATGGTACCTCCTCCTCTCTCCTTAGAGAGCTAGCTGCCCAAGGAAAATCGATCTCCCTGCCTTCCCTTCCCCCATCTCTTTCCCTTCACCTCCCTCCCACTCTCTCCTCTCCTAGTGCACATTGATTTTACAAGTAATCTTAATCCTGATTCCAGCGTTGGCTTTCCCCTCTACTTTCTTGTAGACATTAACAAAGTACAAAATCTCTTAGTCTTATTCGTTTGCTTCACACTTTACAGCTATGTTTTGGTTTACCTGTCCAGTGGAAGTCTCAGTAGATTCCTCCTGTGAGGTAGGCTTGCAGGGCCCCCAAAGACACATGAGGGGCAGAGATTAATATTGCATTACACATTCTTCTCCCTCTGGAGAAAGCTGCTCAGCTCCTGGCTGCAGAAATTGAGAAGAGGGAAAGCCATGTTGAAAATAAACGGTGTTCCACTCCCACCCTGCACCTTCCCCACCAGCAGCAGCACTGAGAGCGATTGAAGGCCAGGAGGAATCTGCAGGCTGAAACATCTGTCCTGTTGGGGTGCAGATCCTCAGAGTGCCAGTAGAATTGGAGGTGTATGAAGGAGACCGATAAGATTTGGTCTTTATGTTTGGATGCCTTGCTACTCCTTTGTTCAACATTTTATACCTTGAATTTTGCAGTGTGATAATGTCTACTTAAAAAAAAAAGCAATCATAATAACAGCTAGGAAACCCAAACACACAGTTCTTTTTCCTATTATAGGTCTCATGATCCTGTCTATAACTTCCTTTCCTTTTTCTACCTTTCTTTACATGGAAGCAAACACCATGATGGAAATTTCTGAGTAAGAGGTTTTATGTTGTCATTCAGAAACATCACTTTCAGAACCCAATTTCAAGCTCTGGGAGTGAAACAAACATATTTCCAACATCTGACCCGAAGAGTTTTGCTAGCTTCTGCCCCCCAAATTTGAAAGGCAGCTGCCAGAGTATGGTATATGTGGGAGAGAAAACTGGTGGATATGGGCTGGAGATGTGTTCCCTGCCCTAGAGGGAGTGGGCTGGGGAGTAGCTGCACCCAAGAGGGTACCCATTTCATAGCCTAAGCCATGGAGAAGGGGGTGGGAAAAGGGATGGTGTTGGTGAGCCACAGGTGACAGGAAATGAAAGCCAGTGAGCACAGATGCTCAGCACACCAAACCGCACCTTGACTACTGTCTTCGGGTGACTTCCTTTCAACTCCAGTCAGGATTTGGCCTCCAGTGTCCAGGATGCCAGGAATAGACTATGTTTAGTGTACTTGTGGTTTTCTAGGTCACAAATAAACTGTTAAGTTGTTTGATAGGTGATGAGAAGGAGGAATTTTAGGGAGATGATAAGCTACTTCAATTCTCCTGTAAACACTTTCTCTCTACCTTTCCAAGGAGGCCTGTGAAGCCGCTTCCCACAGGGGCCTAGTCACCTCTCAGTGGCTCCCCCCCCCCCCCTTCTCTTCAAAGTGCTTCATGAAAGATCATCTAAAGGGTTTCCTTCTCGGTCAGCTCTGCCCTCCATTTGGTGGGTCTGGCTGGCCCCTCCCATCCCCCCACTCTACACACAGCCTGCTTTCTGGAGTGTCTCTATGGCACTTCAGGGACCTGGGCTTGAGTGATTGAGTATGACTCCTCTCTTGGTCCCCAAGACCTGGTCAAATTGATGGGCTGTCTTGTTCAGAGTTTGCAAGTAGGAAGGGGGATGGAATTGGAGGGGTGGTAGATAAAGGGGAGGGGAAGAACTAGAAACAAATCAGGGGAAGATCGGTTTTGGTGTATAAGCTAGCTTTCTTTTTTTCAGGTACTCATAGCAGCCTGGACTGCCTCTACCGACTGCAGATAGCAGTCAATTAAATAATCGTCACACTCGACATATCTAGGCCAAAATATTTGAAGAAAACATTCATCTGTTTATGCCTGTGATCCTGAGTTCAAGATCCCTTCATTGCCGTTCTTTGGATACCTTTCACGAATTCCAGACCTTTAGCCCTGGCTCACCTGGCCCCCACCTGCTCTCTTGTCCAGGGGTCCTCATCACTGTGACTTACACAGTTTCTGTTTCTGCTTGCTTCCCTTTTTTAGGTACAACAGTGTGTCCTCCATGTGACAACGAGTTGAAATCCGAGGCCATCATTGAACATCTCTGTGCGAGCGAGTTTGGTAAGCTAGAGTTTCAGCCTCACTCAGGGCTCTTGGATTCCCCTCCTTTCCCTGTCCTGTGTTTCCCCCAGAAGGTGGAGCTCACGGGGACATCATGTCTGAGTTTTACATCCTCTGTCTCCACCTTCTCATATTCACTCTCAGGCAAAAGGAAGTCTAGGGAGAGTAGAGCATAGGCCATCTTTTATTAAAGTTAGACTACATATGCCCCTGTGTCTCAGATTTGGAGGAACCTTCTTTTATGGCAGAGGGAAGCAGACTTGGGGACTGGGGGAAGCCAGGTGCCTGAGAGTAAAGTGCCCTTCACCTGCTGCAGTAGCAGCCCTGGCTTGACTTTCTCTGTGGTTTGATTTTTATATTCACCCCTAGGTGTCAGCACTACTCTACCCTGGACTGAAATGGCCCAGGGTGGGTGGGGTGCCATCCCAGGAGGGGGAGATTTCTGTGCTTAGCGGATTCACCAGAGGTCCTAGTCAGGGCCTTCTGGGCAAAGAACACTGATGTTGACACAGGAGTGTGATTTCTCTCCCTACTTCCTAAGTCAGTCTGGGTTGAAAAAGAATTCGAAATCAGCACCTGCAGCTTCCAGAGTGAGGCTAGACTGGGCTAGGGAGCAAATTCAGGACCCTTCTAGGATGGCCCCTCTGGCCAACAAGAAAACCCAATGACTCCTGAACTTCGAGAACGGTATGAAATGTGCCCTTTTAGAGTTTGCCCCCTCCCTCTCTTGGATTTCCACTGCTGGATATAGAGCAGCGGTCAAGGCTAGACCCATTTTGCTGAAGGACAGATTTAGTTTGATGCTCAAAATTCCAGGTTGTGTCCTTGAGAATGGATTTCTCACTTCTTATGGGAGAAAGTATAAAGGTAGGTGATGTGAGTTTTCATGTCTGTTTAGAGTTATCTCCTCTGTGTTTTCATTAACCTGACATGATAAAGTACAGGAAGAGTATGATATTGTGAAGTAGTGTGCGCCCATGAGCTCACACAAATGGGAGGGAGCACTCCCAAGCCCAGGGAGTTTGTGTGTCATGGCACACATATTCTTAGGGTGTTTGCAGATATATGTACAGAAGCTGAATTGTTCAAATCATTTGCCAAAGAGACCTTAATGAGAATAGATGCTTATTTATTTATTTTTATGGTTTTTCAAGACAGGGTTCCTTCTGTGTAACAGTCCTGGCTGTCCTGGAACTCACTTTGTAGACCAGGCTGGCCTTGAACTCACAGAGATCCGCTAGTCTCTGCCTTCCCAGTGCTGGGATTAAAGGCGAGCACCACCATTGCCTGGCTGTTTATATTTATTTTTTTAAAACTACTTGTGTATGCTCATGCATACAGAGGCTAGAGAACAACTTTGGTCATGTTGTTCCTGGGGATTGAACTCAGGTTGTCAGGCTACTGAGCTTATTGCATGCCCATTTTTTGAAAAAGTTATATTTATTTCTGATGGATTTTAATTTTGATATCAAGTGTCTGTATTTGCATTATTTGGTTTCCGCTACATTTTGCTGCTTGTGTGAGTCACACCCTATTTTTCTTGTCATTTAAATTTTTTTTAAGACTTTTTATTTTTTAAACAATCTTGGATGTATCCTAGTCTGGCCTTGGCCTTTCACTGGCCATGTAGCACAGGCTAGCTTTGGACTCTTCATCAAAGTAATGCCTTGCTGGATGCCTCCCTCTTCAGTGATTTTCTGGAGTGGTAGGTTTCATTCAGAGTGGAGGTTATAGGGATTTAAAGGCCAGCATCTGTGCAGCCTTGTTGAGAAAGTGGGTGTAGGTCTGGAGCCTTTGTCTAGAACTTACCAAGCCCCAAATTGTTAAATTCCCTTATTCTCATTTTCTTCCCAAAATTCTGTTCTCTGGGGGCTTTGTGGCAGCTAAATTTGGAAGAGGCAAGCCTTCAAAAGAACCTAGTATGGTAAGTTTGGCTTTCTAATGGAGACAGAAGTGCAGAGGATGTACCACAACTCACTGGTATTGGCTGTTCCCCCTTGACAGTAGGTACCTGCCAGGCCAGCAAGCCCCCAAGCTGTTACTACTTAAAGGAAAGCCTTGTAAATAACCAGTAGGACTTGGTGGACTGCAGTGATGGCCTGTTTAAGATTCCTTCTTGTAACCCTAGGAGTGTTTTCTTCTTTGGTTCATGAGGTCTTCCAAGACCTAAGGCTTCATTTGACCAAATCCTTACATTTGATGAGCTAGAGAGCTGAGAATTTACTTTCCTCCTTGGAATACTTTGGAATACTTTGACTCTCTGAAAGGTTCCCCCCCCCCCGCCCCCGCCTCCTGTGAGATGAGGAACAGTGCTAGGACTATGGCATGCAGGTACCCATCTGTGCATGGTGAGGATTGGGTGTGCTAGACTTTTCTGAGGGACGAGAGAGTTTCTTGGCTTTTGGTTTGTAAGGTTTTTAGAAAACGATAAATAGGATTCTTCCTCTCTTCTCTCTCTGTGGGGACTGAGCTTAGCCCTGCCCTTCTTAGTCCCCTGCAGAATGCAGCCTTGTTGAGAAACTTGTTGCCTAGCTCGGTTCATTTCAAGGAAGAGAGGCAGTCAGCCACACTGATAGGATTCTGTTAGAAAACAAAGACATTTGACAATGCAAGCTAACACACAGCAAAGAATGTTTGACTCCCCGCTCCAGGGATCAAGCTTTATATTAAGTGGCCCTGGTGTCCCTAGTGGGAAGACATCAGTTGCTGGAAAGCATTGTGTGAGGGGTGTGCTCCTTAGGGGTGAGCACACACACTTGCTCTCTCTCTCTTTGCTTCTCTGTCAGTGCATCCTGGCACTCCCACAGCCAGTGTGGAGCCGGACATGCGGAGCCTGCTACCTTTCCCTTGAAGGATGCATGTTCAACCCCATGGCACGTCTGCATGACTATATTCACTCTCTCCTCTTGCACTCTACCCTCTCAGTGTGGAGCACATTTTTCCCTCAACAGGTAAAAGCAGCAGTAGGAAGTATGTGCTGATGCTCAGGAATGCATCAGATCAGGCTTCAGACTCAAAATGGTGACCATCCTGCCTGCTGCACCTGTCAGGACTCATTGCTCTGCCTTGAGTCTTCCCTGCGTTTCCTACTACACGATGACTGGGTGCTGTGCTTAGTTCTTAAAGAGGCCAGTGCAGCATCTGCAAGCTTCCCCATGATAACTTTGTTGTTAATGGCTGGTGCCCACAGCCATCTCTCTCTAGGTTAGTTTATCTCAGGGAGATGTTAATCTGATTTATAGTTCCCAGTGGGTTCTAATCCAACCCCAGCCACCCAGTCTACTTTCTTTTCCACTTTCTGTGAGTGCCCTCAGGGCCTTTCCACCCTGCCCAAGGAAGTGCATCACTTCCCTTGAGCCTGCGTCTTCACTTTTGGGACCCGCCAGTTCTCCTGGCAACTTCTTCAGCCAGTGTTTTCTACTCATGAAGAAGGGGTTCTCTCCCCGTCCCCACCCCACCACCGAAGTTTTCCTTGCCCTCTGAGAGAATATCATCCCTTTGTTTGTTTATAGGTTTCCTCAAAGAGAACAACTGTGCTTGGCAGTAAGCAAAATTAGTCAAATAGGAAAGGAAAAGAAAATCAACTCTGAGTCAGCACTGGGAATGTTTCCTAGAAGTATTTCCTGTGGTCCCTGTTCCTCCATGAATCTGTTCTCACTTTGCCTCACGACTCTCTCAAGGTTTCTTGGCTGAGTGGCTGTTGGAGAATCAAGCTTCCCTCTGTGGGACTTGAGTGGCTGTTGGGGGCTGAGCTTCACTGCAAGGCAGTTTGCTCTCTTATAAAAAAAAAAAAAAAAAGTCAGCTCTGACTTTCCAAACTAAACTTCAGGTTTCCTCTTGGAAATGGGGTGTGTGTGTGTGTGTGTGTGGGGGGGGGTGGAACCAGCTGCCAACATGGCAATTCTAGCAGCAGAGCTGCTTGAGAGCAGGCTCTGTGTCTGGGGCCATATTTACCTTCTGTGTGATTAATAGATGCTCTATCTGCCTTGTACCACTGACAAAGAAAACATAACTTCATTGCTAAAATGTGAAAAAAAAATCCGAGTCTTAGAACAAAATAAGGCCCGTTTGTACTCAGACTGGTCCCTGGACAATGTCTCCTACACAGCAGGCACGAAGTAAAGGAGACCAACTCTTCCAAGTGTGATGTGAAATTTGTTATTAAATCAAGGGAAGCAACATGCTGGGTTTGGAGTGACCTAGTCTAGGTCATTCAAAGCAAAAGCAAACAGATACAAGAGAATCAGTGTTAGAGAGACAGCAAACTGAGAGCACTGAGAATATGCAAACATCCATCTCATCCATACTCCCTGAGCTTGAAATGGTTGCCAAGTGTTCCAAGTGCTGGGAATTGTGAGTTTGGTCCTTTGATCCTAGCACTGACAGTCTAAGATGGCTTGTAGTCTGTATTTCATTTTAACCAGGCTACCTGATGCATGGGGTTGAGAAATCCATTGTGGACCATGCTGAACTCAAAGCCTAGAAAACCTCCCAGGGTCATGTAGCTAATATAGTCAACTACTCATCCTCGAACCTAGACTGGAGAGTTCTTGTGAATGTTTGAGACCTGGGGGACTAGCCTGAGGTCTCAGAGGCAGGGCCTAAGCAGGAGAATCACGAGGCTGAGGTCACACATTGAGGAACCAGGAGGAAAAGCTGTAAAGAGCTGGTGTTCCCCTCCAGTGAGAGTGGCACATTCTTCCTCCGTCACTGATATTTGCCTGGCAGGAAAATGTTAGGCAAGGCAAATGTCGTTGATCGTCATGTTGGCATCTTCAAACCAGTGAACCCCAGGATAGCACACCGGACCCTCTGGGGCAGACTTACATCCTTTGTCTCTTTGCCGTGTGTGGGCCCTGCATGCTGAGTAAACCTCTCAAATTCTCCATGCCTCAGTTTCCCCTACAAAATGGTAGCTGATACCCAGGTGCAGATTTGGTGAGCGACAGATAAGATGAAGTGGTATCCTACCAGTGGTACTAAGGAATGCCCACACACAC